GAAGGGTTGGAGGTGGTCGGCTATGGTGGACGGGTGTGGGTGATGGAGGAGGAAGAAGGGTTGGAGGTGGTCGGCTATGCTGGACAGGTGTGGGTGATGGAGGAGGAAGAAGGGTTGGAGGTGGTCGGCTATGGTGGGTGGGCGTGGGTGATGGCGGAAGAAGAAGGGTTGGACGTGGTTGGCTATGGCGGACGGGTGTGAGTGATGGAGGAAGAAGAAGGGTTGGGGGGTGGTCGGCTATGGTGGAAGGGTGTGGGCGATGGAGGAGGAAGAAGGGTTGGAGGTGGTCGGCTAGGCGGACGGGTGTGCGTGATGGAGGAAGAAGAAGGGTTGGAGGTGGTCGGCTATGGTGGACGGGTGTGGGTGATGGAGGAAGAAGGGTTGGGGGTGGTTGGCTATGGTGGACGGGTGTGGGTGACGGAGGAGGAAGGAGGATTCGGCGTAGTCGGCTATGGTGGACGGGTGTGAGTGAAGGAGGAGGGAGGAGGGTTGGGGTGGTCCGGCTATGGGGGATGGACGTGAAAGAAGGCCCGTTGAACGTATCCTAACTCCTAGCCCCGTGCCTCCTTTTGCTACTTCGGCTGCCTGGCTGCCCCATATCACTTTCAGAAGTCACCGGTCAAGGCAAAAATGGGGAAGGGACCGAACTACAACCCACACACACACACACACACACACACATACTCCGAATGTCACCAGGTACAGCCAGGGGTAAAGGTGGACTGCACAAGTTGCCGGGAACTGCAACATTCACACATACCCACACCGAATGTTACTGGGACAGCAACGGGAAAAGATGGACTGCAAAAGTTACCAGGGACTGCAACACTCAGACATACACACACCGAATGTTACTGGGTACAACAAGGGGTAAAGATGGACTGCACCAGTTACCGGGGACTGCAGCACTCACACATACACACACCGCATGTTACTGGGTACAACAGGGGGTAAGGGTGGACTGCACAAGTTAAAGGGGCCTGCAACACTCACACATACACACACCGAATGTTACTCGAAACAGCAGGCGGTAAAGATGGACTGCACAAGTTACCGGGGACTTCAGCACACACACATACACCGAATGTTACTGGGTACAGCACGGGGTAAATATAGACTGCACAAGTTACCGGGGAATGCAGCACTCGCACATACACACACCGAATGTTACTGGGTACAACAGGGGGTAAGGATGGACTGCACCAGTTACCGGGGACTGCAACACTCACACATACACACACCGCATGTTACTGGGTACAGCAGGGGTTAAAGGTGGACTGCACAAGTTACCGGGGCCTGCAGCACTCACACATACACCGAATGTTACTGGGTACAGCACGGGGTAAAGATGGACTGCACAAGTTACCGGGGACTGCAGCACTCACACATACACACACCGAATGTTACTGGGTACAACAGGGGGTAAAGATGGACTGCACAAGTTATGAGAGCACCTTAATCCAACGGAAAGTTCACTTAAGCATCCCAAGGTAATTCACAACTTAGACATGCATCAAAGTCAGTGAGGGCACAAGTTTGAGAGCATGTAACCCAACGAAAAGTTCACCGAAGCATCCCAAAGTAATTCGCAACTTAGACATGCATCAAAGTTAGTGAGGGCACAAGTTTGAGAGCATCTCACCCAGCGAAAAGTTCACCGAAGCATCCCAAGGTAATTCGCAACTTAGACATGCATCAAACTCAGTGAAAAGTCCAAACTTTAAGTATCCACACAAGGGGAAAGTTCACCGAACTATAATAAGATGAATCGCAACTTACCCAAGTACCGAAATCACTGAAAACACAAGCTTTCAAGCAATCTATGAAGAGAAAACATCATCGAACTATCAAAAGGTGAATAGCAACTTATCCAAGTCCCCAAATCAGTGAAAACACAAGCTTTGAAGTAATCTATGAAGAGGACACATCACCGAACTACCACAAGGTGAATCGCAACTTACCCAAGCACCCAAATCAGTGAAAACTCAAGATTTGAAGCAATCTATGAAGAGGACACATCACTGAACTATCAAAAGGTGAATCGCAACTTACCCAAGCACCCAAATCAGTGAAAACACAAGATTTGAAGCAATATATGAAGGGGAAACATCACAGCACTATCACAAGGTAAATCCCAACTAACGCAAGCACCAAGATTAGTGAAAACACAAGCTTTGAAGCAATCTATGAAGAGGAACCTTCACCGCACTATCACAAGGTGACTCGCAACTTACCCAAGCACCCAAATCAGTGAAAACACAAGCTTTGAAGTAATCTATGAAGGGGAAACATGACCGAACTATCACAAGGTGAATCTCAACTTACCCAAGCACCCAGATCAGTGAAAACACAAGATTTGAAGCAATCTATGAAGAGGAAACATCACCGAACTATCACAAGGTGACTTCCAATTCACCCAAGCCCCCAAATCAGTGAAAACACAAGATTTGAAGCAACCTATGAAGGGGAAACATCACCGAACTATCACAAGATGACTCGCAACTTACAGGAGCCCCCAAATCAGTGAAAACACAAGATTTAAAGCAATCTATGAAGGGGTAACATCCCCGAACTATCACAAGGTGAATCGTCACTTACCCAAGCCCCCAAGTCAGTGAAAACACAAGATTTGAAGCAATCTATGAAAAGGAAACATCCCCGAACTATCACAAGGTGAATCGCAACTTACCCAAGCCCCCAAATCAAAGAAAACACAAGCTTTGAAACAATCTATGAAAAGGAAACATCCCCTAACTATCACAAGGTGAATCGCAACTTACCAAAGCCCCCAAATCAATGAAAACACAAGATTTGAAGCAATCTATGAAGGGGAAACATCACCGAACTATCACAAAGTGAATTGCAACTTACCCAAGCCCCCAAATCAGTGAAAACAGAAGATTTGAAGCAATCTATGAAGGGGAAACATCACCGAACTATCACAAGGTGAATCGCAACTTACCCAAGCCCCCAAATCAGTGAAAACAGAAGATTTGAAGCAATCTATGAAGGGGAAACATCACCGAACTATCACAAGGTGTATTGCAACGTACGCAAGCCCCCAAATCAGTGAAAACAAAAGATTTGAAGCAATTTATGAACGGGGAACATCACCGAACTATCACAAGGTGAATCGCAGCTTACGCAAGCCCCCAAATCAGTGAAAACACAAGATTTGAAACGATCTATGAACGGGAAACATCACCGAACTATCACAAGGTGACTCGCAGCTTACCCAAGCACCCAAACCAGTGAAAACACAAGCTTTGAAGCAATCTATGAAGGCGAAACATCACTGAACTATCACAAGGTGACTCAAAACTTACGCAAGCCCCCAAATCAGTAAAAACACAAGATTTGAAACAGTCTATGAACGGGGAACATCACCGAACTATCACAAGGTGACTCGCAGCTTACGCAAGCCCCCAAATCAGTGAAAACACAAGATTAGAAACAATCTATGAAGGGGAAACATCACCGAACTATCACAAGGTGACTCGCAGCTTACCCAAGCCCCCAAACCAGTGAAAACACAAACTTTAAAGCAATCTATGAAGGGGAAACATCACCGAACTATCACAAGGTGAATCGCCACTTACCCAAGCCCCCAAACCAGTGAAAACACAAGCTTTGAAGCAATCTATGAAGAGGAAACATCACCMAACTATCACAAGGTGAATCGCAACTAACCCAAGTCCCCAAATCAGTGAAAACACAAGCTTTAAAGCAATCTATGAAGAGGAAACATCACCAAAGTATCACAAGGTGAATCACCACTCACCCAAGCCCCCAAATCCGTGAAAACACAAGCTTTGAAGCAATCTATGAAGAGGAAACATCACCGAACTATCACAAGGTGAATCGCAATCACCCAAGCCCCCAAATCCGTGAAAACACAAGATTTGAAGGAAACTGTGAAGGGGAAACATCACCGAACTATCACAAGGTGAATCTTAATTTACCAAGGCCCCCAAATCTGTGAAAACACAAGATTTGAAGCAATTTATGAAGGGGAAACATCACCGAACTATCACAAGGTGAATCGCAACTTACCCTAGCGCCTAAATTCGTGAAAACACAAGATTTGACGCAATCTATGAAGGGGAAACATATGGAAGTATCACAAGGTGACTCGCAACTTACCCAAGACCCTAAATCAGAGAACACACAAGATTTAAAGCAATCTATGGAGAGGAAACATCACTGAACTATCACAAGGTGACTCGCAACTTACCTAAGCCCCCAAATCACTGAAAACACAAGATTTGAAGCAATGTATAAAGGGGAAACATCACCGAACTATCACAAGGTGACTCGCAATATACCCAAGCCCCCAAATCAGTGAAAACATAAGCTTTTAAGCAATCTATGAAAGGGAAACATCACCGAACTATCACAAGGTGAATCGCAACTTACCCAAGCCCCCAAATCGGTGAAAACACAAGCTTTGTAGCTATCTATGAAGAGGAAACATCACCGAACTATCACAAGGTGAATCGCAACTTACCCAAGCACCGAAATCGATGAAAACACAAGATTCGAAGCAATCT